CGATAACTTGTATTTCTGCATCATGAAATTAAGTAAGATGCAGCAGAGATCCTGTTGTTGGCAACTTTATCAAATCAGACAGGCCCTGTACCTGAGATATTTCTGCCATTTCTGCTGACAGCCCCTTAGTAGTGCAAGGGAGCCCCTGACCAGCCTGGGTGCTCCCACGTGGCTCCATACTGCTCCTGAGCCCGTGTAAGCACCAGCCGGTCACAGTGTGCAAGATAGCAGACACTGCTGCGTATTTTGGGATTAAGTTTTAAAGTGGTTATGAAGGGAGGTGAAAATATAACAAAGCATGGGACCAATATAAGTGTTGAATACTGCTTTTCTTCCCTGAAGCTCGGCTTTGGCCTTGCTGTGGCTTTACAGACCTGTCAAAGAGAATATGATCTGGCCCTGAGTCTGTGGCCCCTGAAGCTTTCAAAATCAATACTTCTTTCCAGGTAGGAGAACTTGAGGAGGGAGAAATTGAAAGTATTTCTCTGGAGGGGTGTTTATGACATATACTGGGTCAAAAGCATTTAGAGATTATTCTTAAGATGTCCCAAATTTTAGCAAGAGGTCAAAGTATTCATAATCATTTTTGATTATGGGCATTGTAGCTTAAAATTCAGATTGATGTCTAATGTCTTTTGCACAAATGATATTCCTCCTATTTGTGCACAATGAACTCCAACATGTCATGAAGACAGTAGTCATTCATAAACAAAACAAAGCTTTGTTTTATCTTCCATGTTGATCCTCTGCATTAGCTTAGTGCTTCAGCTGAAGGTAAAAAGAGTCTCTGCACTTAAGAGCTGAAGAGCTCACAGTCTAAACATACAACAAAGAGTCAGGAGATGGAGACAGACAAGAGTGGGGAATACAAATGGAGAGATACAGATCAGCACAGCCTAAGTGTGGTAATCACACTGAAGTTAAGGTTTTAAATGGGTATTGCAGAAAAGGAGCATCTTAAAGAGAGCAATGTGGTTATTTTTGTGGGTATTTATTATAGATGTTTATGTCATTTTTAAAACTAGTAAGGAGCAGTGTCAGAGAAAGCAGTTTGCCTGTATCCATGGAGTCATAATTGACCCCAGAAGTCTCAGATTCCGATGTTGGACAAATAAAAAAGATTGATTTTATTGAGATGATCAATTTTTCTGATATACATCCATGATAACAGAGGTGTAATAGAGCTCTATAGGTGCACCTGGAGGGCGTTTTGGTCTCTGCAAACTCTAGATAAGTCTTGGCTCTGACAGCATTGCAGTTTAGCATCTGAGCTACTTCTTGAGGAAGAAGTTGCTGGCATAGGTCTACTACAGGGGAGAAGCAGTGTTGTACTGTGTCTATGGTTTGACTATAAAAGAACAAATTGGGTATGTGCTCTGCTCTTCAGTTCCTAGGAGATGATGATCCCTGGCAGACCATCCAGTCTGTGGCAGTTGTTTGTTGCAGTATTTCTAGGTTGCTTCAGCCACTTCAAGCCATGTACTTACTCTTTGGTTTTAGAGAAGCTGGGATTTGACTAGATATCTACCAGTTTTCCATAGAAGCAATAATAGACTCTGAGCCTGATATATCCTTAATCAAAAGGTGGTTTTGGTCTCCTTTGAAGTTTCTGGTTCACAGTTCTTGTTTCAGACCTTGTTTCATATTCTGTTTGTCTCCATTTACAGCCACTTTAGTACTACGTGGCTTTTCAAGGAAAAAATCCTGTGGTGAGGGAACATTGGGAGTACCCCATTTCATCAGATAGGAAGGTCATCACATGATATAAACTTTTGTTAACTTCTACACCCCTGTACCTGTAGAATATATATGTATGAATTCTGAATATGAATACCACGTTTAGACATTTCTATGCTTGCTCCAAGGTCTGACACAGAGCAAACATCTCCCTCCCTGCATGGACTGAATCAAGAGGGCCCCCTCCTCAGGAAAATGGCTCAGGACCTGAGCTATGACCTCCATCCGAAATGCATAGCACTGGTTTGTGTTTCAAGTGTGAAGCCAATAAGGACTCTCTACCACAGTTTTTGAACATATTTCCAAGTATGGCAGAGTGTAATGACAGGCACATAATCAGACTTTTGGCATGCATTACACTGTGCTCAACAACTCCGTTCTCTTATCCAAACATGACCACCAAAAATAACTTCAATGAACAACTTTTAATTATTCCAGTGTGGGACTCATGAAGTTTTGCCAACAATCTGGTTTGTAAAGCTTTTTGTATCCAAGCACAGAAACCCATAGTGTGTAATTAATCCCCCACTGGGATTTTCCTGATGCAGTCACAGGTCTCTTCTGCAACCTCATCTTTCTTTACCTATCACTTGTTCTTAATGCTGTTCACCCCATTGATTCCTTGAAATCTTGCCCTTTCTTGGCTCCTGTGATTGTTCTTTCCCAGCTATCCCCCCTAATTTTCCATATTCTCTCTCAACTCTTTGGTGTCTGGTGGTTATTTGGTGGTTCTGCAGTAGTTCTGATCTCTGCAGGAATCTCAGTGAGATCTGTGTGTGGAGTCTCCTCTCCCCTCTTTACACTCTCTGTCCAACCTACCACAGAGTATAATAATTGAACAACTGTACTTTTGCCAATGACTCACAAATGTGCCTTTTCCTATTTGAACTGTTTTCTTTTGTCACTGAGTCTTTCTGCTTTCTTCCTCACTTCTTCCCTTCTTCCAGTCTCCTTCCCTTCCTCCCTGTGTCATAAATTGTTAAGCAAACATAAGAAAAAGGACAGCCCCTTGGTTTGGTGGGATGAGCTGCTGGGTTCTGCAGAATGCTTCAAGGTCCTGAAGTGGGTTGGCTATGGCAGTTTCTTCCTCTTCACTATGTCGGGCCATTTATTTAAACTTTTCTTCATCAAACTTTATTTTGTGGGAAAGAATATGCAATTTAAGACACAGTGATGGTGCAATATTTAAGGAAATTCTTACTGTTACTTTGGAAATGGCCTCAGATAGTGAATAAATTGTCCCTTTAAGAAGATTAAATGTGAAAGACAAAAATAAAAGAGAGTTGATGTTTAGTTTAGGTTAGGTTAATTTCCTTAGGCTCAATTCCTAAGCATGCCAAAAGAAACAGCTTTCAAAGGAAGAGGAGGAACTTTCTAGAGCAGGATAACCTTGGATAGCTTTTAACGCAGGTGTGATTAATACAGGTTCAGAGCCCTCCATGCCTAGAGGGACCAGAGTCCAAGCCTCCTTCCGTCTGAGGGAATGCTTTGGTTGTAGCGCAATTCTACAAACCAGCACCCACTACTCTTACTGTTTTGGTGGAGGAGGTCTGGGTAGTGGAAGAGTGTGGAGATCTCTGCCTTGAGATAGGCAACTAAATTCCAGAGAGGTTTAAGGTCATTCCAATATCCTCTGTATTTCCTAATGGCTAATTTGGGCAGCTCCCACTCATCCCTCCCTTTGAGGTGTCTGTATTCTCTGCTTCCCTAAGCTCTGGATCACAATATGCAAGCATACTAGAAGTCAGAAGCCACAGTTTTCAGCTCTGTGGTGTCCAGAACACAATATATTTTTCTGTATTTATGTACATGCTTAACTCTGAGGGGTTTTGTGCTTGGTTACCTTGGTAAATGCTAATAATAATAATAGCAATATGGACAATATGATGTTTATGCAGCATTCACATAACTGTCAAGTTACAATTCCTATAGCTGTGCTTAAATTTATGAAGTGACTCCTGGGGAATGTCTTTGCACCAGCTAAGGACAGGCAAGATATAAACATTCTTTTCAAATTACTGCTTACTAGCCTGCTATGCTGACTAAACCTGAAACGTAACATCTAATACTGGTATTTCAATTATGTCTTGTGCTTGGACTCTATTTTTGCTACCTTCAGTTTCTGTGCATGTGTGGTAGGGAGCACAAAATGGGGGATTTTCAAAGGTCTGGAGGTCCTTCAGTGTCAAATTACTTTCAGAACTCTACTTTAGCATTTCCTAAGGCCCCCAGATATTCATAGAATCATAGAATTCTTGGTAATTTACAATAGTCCTTGTCCTAAAGCGTTTAAAATACATTTCAGATGTGCTGAGAAAATAATGATGACAAAGGAATTAAATAGCCCAGGATCTAGTTAGAAGATCAGTGATTATTCAGGTATTCATTATTTTATTTTTAAGGCTTGGAGGGAAGGGCGCTACAATTTCAGTTATTTTCTGATGACTCACAGATTGTCACAGTGTAAGAAATATTTCTAGAAGTGAGATTTTCATGAGAGGAGGGTTTCACATGAAACTGGAATGAGCAGCAAACTCTAGACTTCATTATCTAATGCAAATACTGGGAAAAAAAATGGTTTGTTGATTATCCTTCTCATCAGGTTTTTCTTTCCAAATATACTGGTGCATTTGCCCACCTGTGATTAGAAATAGAGCCAAGAAACTATTGCCTTATCATTAGCATAAAGAAAACAGAACAAAAACCTCTGCTTTGTAGTAAGCAAGGGGATGCAGCAACATATGAGTGAGTTTTCTCACTCAGCAGCTGTGTTTTCTTTAAGAAAAACCCCTGAAATAATGAAAGAGCTTCTACTTAAAAAAATCTAAACTTTTAAAAAACAACCCTGGATCATGCAGATTTGGTGCCCACTCAGTGGAAAGTCACCAAATCTCATTTGTTTTGCTTGGGCCTCACTCAAACATAACTGGCCTCAAGCTAGTAAGCAAGCCAGCAAATGTCCTGGCTTGTAAAGAAATCTGATCAAAGTCTGTAACTTGAGCCCAGCCTCAGAGCAGTGGTGAGGGGAACATATGGGAAATTAATGACAGATCATAGAACAGTGGGACAGCTTCAGTAAAAATTGATTGTTATTAAGTTTATGCAACAATTGCAGCTAATGGTTGCTTAAGAAAGTCACAGAGCAGCTGAGTGTTGCCTTTGCCAGTTCTAACCTCTAGAAAGGGCTGCAGCATTGCTTTTACCCCTCCGCAGCCTGAAGCTCTCCACTGCACATTTTTAATTGGCACCTGTAGCATAATTGCTTTATAAGCTGCTTCAGCTGCAGCAGCACTTTGGGAGATTCTGGTTCCACCTGTTTAAATAAATAGGAGCCTCAGAAAGAGGAGTGGATTGGAATTTGCTTGGGCTCAAACTGGGTCTAACAGCACAAGTCAGGCTGAAAGCTACAAGCCGGGCCAAGCGCTAGCAGAGGAGGTAAGTGTGGTGTGTGTTTCTTTTTATCTCTGCTGACCTCCAGGCATTTCACAAAGATAAGCTGCTCATGGTATAATGTCATGAAGGGGGAAACAGTCCCAGGGAACCTGTAGTTGCAAAGCCCATCTCTGGTGGAGGGAGTAGGTTACACAATGGAAAGGAAATAATAATTTTGAAAGTGTGTGTATTTCTGGAATGCTTAAATCACAAATTTATTTGGCTGCTGGCCTGGAACACTCACCAAGGGCAGAATTTGAATTACAGTACTATACGGGGGTTGTTATGTACCAAGAGATAAGTGATGTTTTTCTTCTTATTCCTCTGCTTTTGTTTTATTGAGCACTAGCTAAAATACCAATATATTCCCTGCCTGGACCTTACAGTGTCTTTTGCTCCTACCCTGTTGTTTCTAAAGAGCCTTCTGTTGACAGTGTAGGAGCATCAAGCTGCCTTTATTGGTAAATAACTCATACGCCTTCATTCCTATCACCATGTCCAGCCCCCTGGACAGACTACACAGTGCAGGGGTGGCCCAGGTGATTCTGTGTGCTAAGGTGATGCCTCTTATGCTGAAGAAGGTTTTCTGTATGCGTTACGATAAACAGCAAGGCCTGTACAGAGGGAGAATTGCAGGCAGTGGTCCCCATCTCTTTATTGCTAAATAACACACTATGGGTTATCGTCTGTCTCCTGGTGAGTAACCTAGTAGGAAGAACAAAGCTTATGCTTTTGTAGTTGTAGACTTTCTTCAGGAGAGAACTTGTTTGTGTCATTTAGTCTTAAGTTTGGCTCTTCTCTTTTGTAATCTGAAATGAGGACTGTATACTGTGATAATTGCTAATCCATTCCCATTTCCCTGGAATATATGATAACAGTAGTTCAGCATTTACAGTATTCCCCATTCACTGTTCATGCTTGCAATATGGAGCATTGCCTACCCTGTTATCAAGTAAAATACAAAGTGTCAACTGAAATGGAGCTACAGCAAAAAGTGTTTCATATGCAGTTGTGATAGAAGAGTAGACCCTTACCCTGCTGAAGAGTAGCAGTATTACCACGCACGTTTCTGGCTGCATTCATCCTGCTACACATCAGCACATGTAGAGGCAGATTTGCCCACTCAGGGACACTTTAGGGTAGTTATGAAAAAGAAATAAAATGTCTTGTTGTGCCTTTCAGTATTCTTTTAAATTCCTAAACCTTTTATTGCTGTGCCAACACCATGGTTTAGGGTCCTCGTAGTCTAATATGAGGAATCCAAGCCCATGGCAGTGGGTTAGAACTGTATGATCTTAAGGTCCTTTCCAAACCAAACCATTCTGTGATTCTATACTGGGATCAGGGTGTCATTAAACTGGTGAGTTCTGTAGCTTGCATTAAATAGATGATCATATTAGATCATCATAAGGATTCATACTGACCAGAAACAGTGATGCCTGTAAAACTAAAAACTCATGTAGGGAAAAAATGAATATGTAACACGCAAACATATAAATACACATGATATGTACACCCGTACATCGTGATAGTAGTAACATCAGTAGTGCAGCAGAAAGCCTTAACTGTGTGAAGGGAGTGAGGGTGATTTAGCAGGCAAACTTTTTTTCCTGAGAAATAACTTCTAAACCACTTCTCATGGCTCAAAGACTGAGAATCAGTATCTGTGGGGAAGGAGAGAAATAAGAAATGTTTAGAAATACCAACGTTTCCAAACATAAATATTTCCATTTCTGATTTGATAAATCTGTTTAAATCCTTCCAGCTTCCTGTGGAGGAGTAAAACAGCCTAAAGGTTAGACTTGTGTTGTAAAAGTGTTTTCAGTAACCTTGTCAAACCTATGAGCTGACTGAGTGGTGATGGCTCCAGAGCATACAGTGCATGTTTTGTTTTTCTAACATCTAGAAGACTCAATACATCTGAAATATAGCAAAATACTTTCCTGCAGGGCAGTGGAGATGCCCTACTGACAAGAGGGAGCTGTATTCTTTTCTCATCACCTCATAAACAGTGGAGTTCTGAGTGAGGATGTTAGGTAATGCTTTTTATATACAGAACTAAATGGAGGTATTACTATCATCGTCTAACCTTTTGAGATCTGAGGCAGTATTATTTAACAAAGCATATTGGTTTTCCCTCTTGCTTTTACTGAGCTTTGATGCTGATTTTAGAACTTTACAGCTGTGTTTAGACTTACGTCTCCCATATGGAAGGGAGGAATATAGATGTTTGGGGCAGCAGGCAGCATAAACTGGAGGGAGAGAGAGGGGAGGAATAGAGGCAAGATTTGCCTCAGGAAATAGAGGGGAAAATCCACAGCAGTGATTTTCTAGCCATCCTCCTTTCAGGAAACTCCTTAGAGCTGAATGGAGTGCTAGTCCCTTGTGCCCTACCCAGGAGAACTATGTGCCTTGGAAAGGGATTCATTGCCCCCTAATGCCATGGTAGAAAACTATGAAGTCTGACTAGGCATGATGCTTCACAAGGGTTCTTGTGTTTGCTTGGGATTGCGATCCAGAAGACCTTAATAGACCCACAGGACTGTTTGAGCTTCTCTATAGTGTTCTTTATTGTGACAGTACTTAGGTATGTGTATTTTGTGTGACAAAATAGTAAGTGTGAGACAATATCCATTTTGATTAGACTCTGAAAAAAGTCAGAACTTGTTACAGCTATTGTAGTAAATGAAAATACACTTTCAATCATTACTTTCAAAGCCCTACATCAAAGTAAAGTTAATTTTTGTGGACTATTAACCTGCTAACCTTTTTAAGTTCATCCTTTATGGCATAAAAGGAAGTAGAAAGAGTTCATATTTGTTCAGTAGCTGAGTTTTTCAGATGGCCTACCTTTGAATAATTATTAATACTTTCTTTGATATCTGAAAACTAATGTTTCACCTTCTCTACAGATACCTGAGGAGAATGTCTTCAATAAGTTGGGGGGACTGCACACAGGAAACCAGGGATTGGGAACAAAATAAGGAGAAGTAATCAAGGGACATTCAAAACAGTAATAAAATGAAAGTCAGGCACAATCCAGTTCAAGATCTGAAAAGCTCTTCTCTCTTCAGTGTTCTGTAATGATAGAAGACCTAATTAATCGACTTTTGTAAGACATTATAAAAACAACAACTTTTAATGAATTGTCACAATATTGTTTGTGTTTGTTTTTCCTTTTCCTTAAGAATGATATTCCAGGGTGATTAAGTTACAGCATACTCAGAAGAGGTCTCCTGAGTTTCAGCAAGATTATATCTAAAGTGAGATGCAAACCCCAAGTCTCTTTAGATGTGTCTCTCTGTGCTGTTGGTGTTTTTTTCATTCTTATTTCCACACTGGAATGAATCTTACAAGCACAGAGCCTTTTAACAACTTCTCTGTAGGAATATCGCCTCCCCTGACCATGAGCATGTCTGTTCTGTAAATACAACTCCCTTGCTGTGATGAGATATCTTCACCTTTGTTTTCTCACCTTCTTTTCAGAATTGTTTGTTTCTGGCAGTTGAGGGATGGGGCACGATGAGCAAATCCCATTGCATGCACTTTAAATTCAGTTTTAACTGTGTATGAGAAGCAAGGATGACTTAATGGCTACAGGTATTAACCATGACATAACTGGTCAGTTTAGCAGGAATGTAAAAGAAGTATATTTCTAAGCCAATATAATATTGTCCGTCACTGGTTAGTATAATTTCTATTCTCTATAAATGGAAATTAGCAGTTCCTAGGCCTTATTTGGGTACTGAACATGGAACCTACGTTTTTTTCTTACAGAACAAAATGTGCTACAGGATTGTCACTTCTAACATCTGATGTCAAATATCCCCATAACTTAGCCCTCAAACCTGGGTCATCTCAGAGAAGAAAAATCTAAAAGTTCTTCAAGTATTTTGCAATCATTTCAAGCCAGACCCAAATTTCATCCCTTTCTGTGTTCTTCAGCTCCAAACCACTGTGTCTGGTAGAAATGTGCAGAATGTAGAGTACTGTATTTAAAAACAAAGTAAAACAGTCCTTAATAGGCACTCTATCGTTTAGCTAAACAAAATCCCTTATCCACACCATTCTGGAAGGGAGGAATGGTAAGGATGAGAGTAGTAGAAAAAAACCCACCTTGAAGTAAAACTGTACACAGTGACCAGAATTAATCACTTTGAAGTCTGGAGCAAAGATGAAAATATAAATTAAGCAGAACTGCTTTTATCCCATAACATACTTACAATGCTGGTTACAGAATTCAGGGGGTCCAGTGTTTAGTTCCAAAGAAAACTGTATGAAAGGCTAGGAAGTCACTTCTGCTTGGTTACTGCTATGCTAAGGATCAAAGCAGAAAGGTATTTCACTTCTATGTACAACTTTGAACTATTTCATAAAGAAAGTCAGAAAATGGATCTTAAGAGTAGTTCTTACTGGGCTGCCTTGCATCAGAGGAATGAGTAAGAAAACTATGTCTCTTTGCTGGAAGATATACCAGTACTGTATAGTACAGCAAACTTCTTCATCTGTCTCTTGTAAGTTTTGGATTGTAAAGAAGTAGAGTCAGACAGGGTTTTTATTGACTTAGGATCTCTCATAAAACTTCCATATGCTTCTACATCCATGTCTTGTTTTCAATTTTAGTGAAGGCTTTTGTTTGAAGTCTCATAAAATTCGAATTTATTGCTGTTTCTTTTTATAAAATGGAAAGGGGAGGAGGCAAGTACCAAGATAGCATGTGCAAGGCAGGCCCAAGGAATGGATCTGTGAATTTAAAACACCAGTCAGTTTATCAGCCCTTGCTTCAACTATTGGCAACTACTTTTCCTCACTCTCTAACCTATGATCTTGTGTTCTTAGTGTGTGTATAGAAAGGCTAAGTAACTGACTAACCACATGAATATGCACTTATATTCTGGAGGTATGGAATTCAGGTCCTGAACTTCTAAAACTCTTAATTAGGCCAGATTGATGCATAATGTATATACTTATACTGAGAGATGGTGAGAACCTGCTCTCCAATGTGCCACGTCTAGCACTACTTAGTAATAACTTCTCATTCATTATGGTCCTTGAATTCTACTTAAATCAGGAACAGGAATGTCAACTTACTGAGTAGCTGCTGTTTTCACCAGCATAAAGGAATGTATCTCTAGCACAGGAGAAGGCATAGCCTTTCCTCTTGTAGGGCAGAAGCCAGAGCAGAATGTCCTAAGATGCCAAATGTGCACACCAAAATCAAACTCAAGAAAGGTCTGAGGAGCATCCAAGAGTATAGTGAACTTGCAGATTTATCTGCTGCTTGTGCACATGGACTCCTGCATACAAAGTGATGTCAAAGGTACAGCATGGCAGGATATGCCCAGAAGAAAACAGAACATCAAGCATGAATGAATGTACGTGGGTTCATGCATCATTTGATTTGCATTTTTACATTTGCTCTTCACTTACATAGCAAAACTGGTCTACAAGCTCACATTCCTTATATAAGTCTCCTTTTCAGTCAGCAAACTGCACCCACATAGAGTAAGAGGAAATCAAGTAGAATAGCCTCTCCTCTATATGGTGTGCTCCTATAGCAGTCAGCTCTCACTGCCTATCAGGGACTGACTTCCACGGGTGCACACCATTTGTTGAATATTCATAAAAAGTACCCTCCAAGATAGCAGTGGTACATTGCTCTGGAAGTCACTGGTGACAGCTGAGCCTTTCCTAGGTCAGGAGCAGGGGGTCTGCCCTGAGGGCACAGGAATACTTCCAGATTTGCCTCCTCTTGACCTTTTCAGAATTGGATCAGGGACCAAACTGGACCAGAAATCTTGTTCTAAAGCAAGATTTCTACATAAAGGAACAAAGTGCATTTCCCATTAAAGTGCATAGGTATTTTTCTTTGCCCTTCTCCAGTGTTAAGCTGACCAACCTAAATTAAAATCTCATACTTCAAATAGTAAAAATCAGGGCGCTAATGTGCAGGCATGGTTCAAAGTTACTACAAAATTTAAAGTAGTCCCTGGCTGAGCACACCTTTTTGAGCAAGGGACTACATCACTTTTACATAACTACGTGAAGCACTGAAATCTCTTGTAAAAACAACTGTCTAGAGTTAGTGGTAAATTACACTAGCACAACCTGTATAGAAAGGGTCATCAGGAAAAATGAGTAATACAACAATTTTGGGCAAATGACATACTTGTGCATCGTGACTTGTAAACATGTGTACACACACAGAGATGTTCTCTGAATGTATTCTTCTTTGTGGACCCCTTCCCATTCTGTACACACTGTGTTTAAGATATATCAGTAATACAACACTTGTGGTGTTTAAATGTTCAGAGAGAAGACCCTCCTAGAAAATGTCCGTAGGGGTGAGTCAACCTAAGGACTGAAAGAGAAATCCAAGACCTGTAGCACATTTGAAATTCATTCTTGCAGAGGCAATCTGAGAGTTCTGCTGGAGAGAAGCTGCTGAGCACTGTAATTTTTTTCACTCTAAATAACAAATAGAATAGGCTTTTAACTGCATTTTCTCCATAAGAGCTACTTAACCCTCTTCACTAACATTAAATAAAATTCCAAGCAAAATTCCTATTCAGAGTGAAAAAGAACTGAAACCAAAGTGTGCAGTGCACACCCTTCCCTTCCTGTTTTGTTTGGTGTTTTCTAGCTCTGCTTTTCATACAGCTGAATGGGGGCTGGGAAAGTGTTTACAATATTTTCACATGATTGAGATGGCAGAGTTCTTGTACTCTGTGAAAGGCCTTCTGTTTTCAGATGGCATGGAAAGTTTACCGTCTCTCCAGACAAAAGGAAGAGAGTTTGTTGCCAGCAGATGAGTAATGGGCATGGCCTCTGCACAATACCTCCTATCCAGTTCTAAATCTACATGGTGTTCTCAGGCTTCCCAGCTTCTCCAAAGCAACCTTTGTCTCTGCACTGGGAGACCAGAACTGCTCGTTGAGTTAGTGGGGTTGCAGCCAAGATGGGAATGCTTGGTGACAACAGTTGCTCAGTGCTCAGTGCCCAGTATCTGCCTTCTTACTATGCTACTACAATAGTTGGAAACTCATCAACATTTGTATAGAAGGTGCCCAATTATGTTGCAGACCAGCTGTATAGTTTTCAGTTCCAGAAGATTCCAGTAACTCACTAAGTTTTAATACTTTTTTTTTTTTTCCTTGTTAATCTGATGGGCTGCCTGAGATAAATGATTAAAGCAAAAGCATGGCAGAATTACTCTGGGGGTAAAACTACATAGAAGTTGCCAAGTCTGGTATTTGCTTTCTTACAATCTACTTGAAGAAAGCATTTTCCATGGATGAGAAATTTTAGATTTTTATTAAGTTTTTTAGTTTTTATTCTTTCTTTGTCAGAAAAACATTTTGGTGAAAAAGCAAACATGAACAATGTTAGAACAGAAACTAAAGTTTTCCCAAAGAATCTGTGTACTTAGTGCTATAGAGGCCAGTAGGTAATTTTTTTCTTGTTTCTCTTATGAAGTTTCCTAGAGCTTGTCTTTTCGGAATGTACCCCTATGTTGGCTGCAGATGTGTGGGGCATGTATGTGTGAGCATGGCTGTCTACCTGTCTAAAAGAAGTTGCATTTCACTCTCGTGAAATAAATAAAGGGCATGAAGAAGAGCTTCCTAAGAATTACAAACATTCATTAACTACAATTAATATTGTCTGTGTACTCAGCTCCAAATTGTCAGTACAAAGTTCTTGGTCTCTCATGCTAATTTGATGTTGCACAGCAACTAATTTATTGTTGTCAGAAAAACAGAAGCAAGGATGTAAGAGGCACTGGATTTTTTAAGGGTTGGTTATAGCTGGTATCAGCAATTTACCAATTGACCTGTAGTAACCTGTGGTGCTGGCAGTCCAGGGTACACAAGCAATGCATTAAAGTTAAAACCAAAACCATTTTCTCGGTTACCTGAGTAGAGCATTCAAGGTAACTGATTCTATTCTTCGGAAAGTTTGGGTTTTTTTAATCTTTTTCTTTTAACTGTTTAGACCAGCATTAAAATAATCTGGCTTCATTTCCTCTGCTGAAAGAGCAAGTCAGCTGAAATGTGGGCGTCTTGCTGAAAGGGGGTGGAAAAAAAAAGAGGTAGTTTTTCTTTTAAAGAACAGGACCATACACATTCCACTCTTATGCCTTTAAAGGGGACTTCCCTGTTTTAAATGCCCTCAGGCATAGAAATACCAACACCTCTTAATTGCTTAATATATTACAGCCTGAAACATTTACAGAAGTGCTTTCAAAGTATTTCACTGTTCCAGGTGCTTGATCCTCCACCTCCTAAAATAATAGGTTATTTCCCCTCAGTTTTCATGTGCTTAGTACCTCAATGAGATGTATGCTCTGTATCAAGTGAAGGGGAAGTGAGAGAAGTGGGACTGCCTGACATTGGTGCCTGCACTTGCAGCATACACAGATTTCTGTCTTGTATCACACAGCTTGTAAAGAATGAGAAAATAATGACTTGTACTTGAATTGTAAGAAAAAGTCATCTTGTTAAGCATTTGAATATCACTTCAGAAAGAAAAAAACCCTGTCACTATGTCCTCTGAGCAGCATCACAAATTACTAAATCAGTAACAAGCAGTGCTGAGCTTATACCAGTCCACAATATAGCCATCCTACAGCCATCCTCCAAACTCTATTTGCTGTTGCATGGAGCTGATGTGAAGATAACATCTGCTGCCTGCAACCATAGTGCCATGCAACCATGCTTCAGACCAAGCGGGGGGGGGGGGGGGGGGGAACTGTGCTGAATAAAAAACCACCTTATTTTGATTTAGTGAGGCCAAAATAAGAGACAACACTTTGTTTGGCCTATGTTAATTCTTTTTTCAACTTCTTTAGCCAAAACGAACTAAAACTTTTCACTGCTCAAGAAATAAGTTCTTAATATAGAGCACACAGGGCTTTTCAGGCTTCTGTGAGACTCTGCTGGCATAGCGGGATCTGAGCTTCTCTGTCAGTCTTATTATCACATCGTGCACCTGCTGAGAGTCTCAAATGCTGTCTGCTCACAGGCTGCACAGTTCAGACATCCACACGCCGTGAGCACAGGTAATCTGACTGCACTGATTCAGTGCACAAGCAGTAGCAAAGCTGGATGGTCAAAGAAACTTTGTCTTGAAATTCAAGACCTGTTCACAAAATCTCCCTTCTCCTTCCCAATCATCGCTACTGTAGAATTGCAAGCTAATGCAGATGGTTGAAAGACTCGGGGTCTCAAGCCCTCCTGATAACCGTCTGTAAGGGAGCAGTGGGTGGATACAGTTTCCGATAAGGAGCTGGAGGGGGAGTGGTTATGACTGGCCTGAGGGAGGAGATAATGCAAAGTTAAACAGTTCTGTGAGAGGGGAGGAGTGGATCTTTCCATGACTGCAGCTTCAATCATGCACTTCTCGGGTAAATCGCTCTGCCATCCCTTTGAACCCATGTCTCCTATGTGACAGAGCAGTGACCTACCTGGCTGCTGAGCCACTAGACTAATACTGTTCTTTTAATCTGGCAAAACTGTGTTATAAAAGAGTTTGATTCACATGAGAAATCAAGTATAAGATCTGTCCTCATAAAGACATTATACCATGAATGCTCTTTTTCTGCTGGTTGTAAGAATAGGTGGCTCAAGGGTGAAAGGGAAGCATTTACATTTAAATACACCTATTGGAATCATACAAACACAATGCTAAAATCACTGTTCCCTTCTCTGAACGTTTTAAGAGTTTGCTGTTATTTTATTTTTACACAAAAATAGCAAAAAAATTTTTTTACATAATCAAAAATCAGACATGAGATCTTTAAGATGCCATAAAGGAAAACAAAGCAGCTCTTCATGCCAACAGGAGAAATGGATGAACCTTTTCAAACTCGTCATTTTACTTCTGTGTGTGCCACTCGGGAGGTGAAACCCAGATAGAAAGCAGAGCTTCCCTCCTGCTGCACTAACTGGTGGTCCTGGCTGGGTGTGATGCTGTTTACATTTCCCAGAGAAAGAGAAATGCACTTCTATTTTGGTTTTTTTTGTTTTTTTTTGTCTGTCAAACCCAGATTTACGCTATGATGAAAGAGAAAGCTCCTTCCACCTCAAGAAAACAAACTAAAACAGGCTGCAAAGAGTGCTTGATGGCAGGGTGGGAGCTCAGTGAAACTCTTGAAATGCACCCACTTGACCTAGGCCTGAGCTTCTTCCCTTCTGTTTCTGACATCGTCCTCCCATCCACACAGTGACAGAGGCATATGGTCTGCAATGGCAAAAGCTCGGGGGGGGCTTTGCTCTTTGGGACACCTGATTGAAAATACACAAACCAAACCAACCCAAACCAAATTAAAAAACAACCCCCTAAAAGCCCAAACAAATAATCCCCAAACTGTGTACTCCTTGAGTTTTTCTTCTCAGTTTTTTGATGGCTTTTATCATGACTTTCTGCCATCCAAATAAGGGTCAAACCCAAAGAGCATGAATAAATGCCTTAAAATGACAATGTAGCTGGAAATCAGAAATCAAGAGCTGCCTTCTCAGTGATTTTTTGCACACATGAATTTGCATTAAATTGCCACATAACATACAGCTAATGACACTAATCATTAAATATGTTCCAGATGACTCTCAACAGTGAAGAACTTAAAATCCAGATCTAAATGTGGAAGTTTAACATCTAGTTACTAGTTTTTCCTTTGAATATGCATATGGAACTGTTATCTTAATATATAGCCCTGGACAGTGGTGAATCCTAAGGCATTTTTTACAAACCTATGAAACGATATGGAATTTAGAATCTCTTGTAAGTGAAGTGAAATTGTCAGATCTGTAAAATATGTGTGAAGAAAGAAGGCGCAAAAACGTCAGTATCTCCATGTTCAGTAGCCTTCTATGGATCTTGATCTTTTAGAGTACACCTAATTATATTTTATTTGGGTCTTTGATAATTTTGTCCTTTACAACATTGTGTGGCTGTATAAAACAAAACAGCGCATCCCTTGGTCTCCCTAGTCTGGCATGTCTTCCTAATTTTTCTTTCTAGTTTTTATATTCTGAAAAATGCTGAATGATTCTTTCCTGTAGAATACCTTCATTTTTTCATAACTTTGTTAACAACTTGTTAGTCCTTTTTCCAAACAAAGGAATCCTCTGCAACCTAAACTCTATGGAGAGAAGCTTTTGTACACATCAAGTAATCCTTGTTGCAATCTGTTGCAGCTCTCCTCCTTCTGTGCCTTTGTGGAGATGAGAGGATCAGAGGTGTACTTGGTATTTACCTGAACTTATGGAACAGCAGAACTCTGGGTTGTTCTTCCTTCCTTTCCAAAGGATTCCTAACATCCTGTGTACTGTCTGTTACACATCATTAGGATGATATGTTCATAGGGTTTAAAGGCCTATTGTAAGGAGGAATTATTCTCCTTGCCCATAGGGCCACATCACCTGAATTCAGATGATTTTATGTTCTCCAGAGAGTAGTTTAGACAACGAAAATTGCATACCCATGTTTTGATTCCACAGTGCAATGAAGGTGCCTCAGTGTTTTTGAGGGAGAACTTCCTGTCAGCCAGCCAATAGTCAGTATTACACACCTCAGCCCACTGAGAATTTAAATGTTCTGGTTCTTGGCTTCAGTTTTCTGCTTTCAGTAATAATGTAACATAAAATATCAAGTTATTCCCAAAAGAAAGAACCAGAACCTATCTACTAGCACTATCTGATAGGTAAGTCACCTCTCTTGTTTCCTTTGTTGATACTTAAGAGTTTCTGGGGAAATGTGGAAACTTCCAGGTCAAAGAAGGAAGCCTGTAGTTGCTTTTGGGTTCCCATATCATTAGGCTGTGCGGGCAGAAGATGGTCCAGGTTGCTGTTTGAAGTTAGAAATGAACACCTCTGTTTCAGTTCAAGCAGTGTTATTGGATATGAGCCAAGAAGTTTATGCTAAAAGCTTAGTATCATTAAGTTATATCAAGCATAGCTCAATTACAGTCAAATACTTATTTCCTGTCTTGCAGCTGTCATTTCATTCTGAATGAATAAAATATAGCCTGACCAAACGGAGATTATGAGACAAGTGCAAGCTCTATTTAAAGGTTAACGGTCTGATCTCTCTCTCATAGCAGTTTTATGGTCATTTAACTGCATTGACTTCAGTGAAATAAGTCCTGATTTACAGCATGGCTTTCAGAGCTTGTTTAAAGCTGTGCTAAACAATAGCAATGCTGGTGACGGGTCTTTGGGAGCAAAGCATGTTTGTGTTGTGCATTCCATGGTACTATGGTACTGAGGCCCTAAAGAAAATTGTTATTAATTTTTGATCCATGGGGAACAGATTTTCAAGTAATTGCTTAGGTTTCTTATTTGTTGCCTTTTATGATTTAATATCAGGTATAGGGTTTGTTTTTTCAGTGATTTATCATATACCAAGGAATCCTGGGGTTTCAAATCAAATGTAGAGGTCAGAGGTGTACAGAGTCCATAATTCTGTATATTTTTTGTTAGGACAGACATTTTCAACTTGAAATGAAATCTCAAAAATGCCATCAAAT